CGCTGCGGTTTGAGAATCCAGTCAGATTTTTCTGTATTATGGCTGCGGACACGAAAGCGAAGAATGTAAGAAAAGAGCTTTGCCTCTAGATTTTAATCTTTAGTTTGAAGATTTTAAAGCACAGTGTAGTTTTTAATTTATAAAAGACTTGATCCGGTGCTTCTCCTCTCTCTGCTCGTGTCAGACCACAAAGGCTTGTTGAATTTTTGCCGGGGATTAACTTTTCTTTTTCTTTCCCCCTTAACTCTTTTAATTTTTCTGTTAAAGCTAGCACTTTCTATTTATTTATACCTGTTTTATGATTCGTTTGAGCCTTGACATGGATCTTGCCACCTTCATGCCTCTACTTTTACCCTCTATGTAAAGAAATGTACATTGAATTTCTTGCGTTAACTTTCATAATGATTCTATGACATGAGCAGACTTTTTTAAAGTGTAAATTTAGAATACAATAAATATGGCACACATCCTTTGAAGGAAGTGAAAACCTCCAAACGTTTGCATATTGTCTTTTTATTTCCTATTTGTCAAAACGGTACAAGGGCCATACTATAATAATATTTTTTTAGATTACAAAAACAAGTCATGACATTAAAGAATCCAGGTCTGACTTAAAAGTGAAAAATGCGGTCTTAGCCCTGCATTTCAACGGAAGAAGGTAAAATGCTTTTTATTGTCAGAACCTTTTTATTAATATTTTATAATAGCTTATATCTATATATATATATATATATTTATTTCTGGAATATATATATATATATATATATATATATATTTATTTATTTCTGGAACAATGCTGCATTTTTATTGTAATTTTTCCCTCATAGATCTAATATAGTGCCTTTACTATCTTTGTAACAATATGACAACATTTAATATAAAAACTTTATTCTCATAAACCTATATTATGACTTAATTTTTCATAGACCAAATATTAGGTCTTTATTTTTGTACAAATATGACCTTATTCTGGTAATATTTCTTAAATCCTATAGACTTAACTATTTTAGTAAAAAAGAAAAGTGGTCGTCATAATCTGTCATATTTATAGTCCCTCATCTTGCAGGACAGCCTAATTGGCTGTTTTATTTATATATATATATATATATATATATATATATATATATATATACAATGAATATTGAAAAATCTTGTGAAAATATTTATGTTCCATGTCAAAATAGTTCTTTAGCTTTTTAGCTTAGGGAAAAAAATATATCTAGAAAACCTCAGTTTACTCAGTATAGGTGCATATAAACACAGACTATTTCAATAAATCAGAAGAAAATAAATTACACGTTATTACACAATCCTCTGTTTTTCCACTGTTGATAGTGTGCCTTTTATTGCACTCTCCTTCCACCTATTTTTCTAATAATGTTCTTACACACTAATCACTTCAGCAATGACATTTTGTGGCTGACAGACATGGTGGACAACTATCAGGTCAGGGTTATGCCTGTTGATGTTTGGAATATAACCATTTACCATAATAAAGCTTCTGTGCAATTATTTAAATTTATTTTTGAATCCTATGTTTTGATTAGCTTTATGATATGATCACCAAAGTAAATACTTCAGGCAGACATCTCTGTGACTAATAAACCAATGCAAGGCAGTCTTATTCCCTGAAATACTAAAATAACTTTCTAGTGACATCTTACCTTTATTAGAAGCAGCTGCACTATTCTGGCATAAACGACATGCTTATTCTTACTTACTGGAGTCTTCTTAATTTGTATATAAAAAAAAGTCTAAAAATGTAAAATACATTTGACATTTCTTATTTTCTTTCACTCCTGTCGCTTTATGCTGGTTTGACTTGATGGTGACAATTTTTATATTGAATTCATCAACAAATTATCCTTTCAGATCACATTTGATCCTTTTTTGGTCAGAAATGCACATTTCACTTTGGACTAAAACTACTGAAAAACAACAGTCTAACAACTTTTTTTATGTTTGTTTTTTGTTTTTTTTATCTGAATCCTTTATTTACTGTCCTATCCTTTATTTAAATGCCATCAAATGCCGGGAAAAAATGATACTGGATATGTTTTAAATATAGATGAAAAAGGAATGAGATCATTGATTTCAGTCAGTATTAACCAAGCACTAAAACCAAAGTATAAACCTGCAGTGTGCTGTAGCTCCTTTGTCCTTGTATGTGAAGGCCTGTGAGCCAACTGTCTGTGTCACTCACCAGCAGTTATTGTTAGAAACAAATGGTGTCTACTGGATAACTTTCATGACACTCAGGGCAGCTGGCACTTCCTAGGAGCCCAGCACCAAAAAACAACAGATTGAGTTTCAGCTTCACTTTAGGAGTCATTAGTTTGTAGGAGAGGGAATTCGTTTGGAGCTAGTAATGTGAAACACCATCTGACAGGTTAAAAAAATATTAATGTTAATATAAAACTGAATGATTTGCACCAGAAATAATAGGGAAAGAAAGCATTTTGTTTGTTTTGAAAGCCCAGTGTAGATAGACGGGGCTCCTGGGAACCCTGCTGTGACCAGGTGGCTTATTGAAGGGATTTTTATGGTTTTTGATGCAACTTTTTAGTTAGAGAAATTCTGTAGAGGTTTCTCTTGAATGTTGAAATGTCTATATACAAAGTAAAGCTTGGATCCAGAAATGAATACATAAAAAAGCACACATTATTACCCACTTTTATATATATAAAAAAAAAAAAATGGTGGTGTTGCACCTATTCAAGTGTCCAATGCATGACGTTTTCACACCGGTAAGCCGATATAAGTCATCATTAGTCACACCGGCATGAAGTCTCTGGCAGCCCAGCAGATCTGAGTGGTGAGTTTCCTCATGTAGCCTTCATGCACACTATGTTTCCTGCTGGAGGTCTGCTGGGCCTCAGTCCTGTCACTAAGCCTCTGCTAGTTGGTTTCACTGATATTGGCCCTTAAACCAACAGCTAGATGACTAAGATGACTGAGACAATTGTTATAGCAAAATATTTCTATTTTAAGTTTTTACCCCCTTTTCCAGTGTTCAAATATTGTTTTTCCTCAATGTCGTTTATTCTTTGAATCCATCATTTTATTTCCCCTTATTTATGTCCTTATTTCTTTCTTTACCTCTGTTTCCTCTCTTGTTGTTTCTTTCCTCCCTTGTTCCCTTTGTCTCCCTTTCACTTTTTCTCCCTCTCTTTGTATCTCTCCACTCATCGTTGTACACTTATCCTTCCTTTTGTCCATCTTTCCTTTTTTCTTTTATCCTTCCCCTCATTTATCTTCAGTGTATCCATCTTTCCATGTATTCCTTCCTTCCTTCCATGTTTTCCTTCCTTCCTTGCTTCCTTCCTTCCTTCCTTCCTTCTCTTCTACCCTCTGATTGTCTCTTCTGTCCTTCCACCCCTGTATTCCTTCCTTCCTTACTCAACCCCCCTCCTTGTATGCTTCCTTCCTCACTTCCTTGCAGTTTCTGATTTTTGCTTGGGGCCATTAAGTCCAGCAAATCTGCAATGCTTTAATAAAAAAATGATAATTTAAATATACTCCTTAAAAAATATTTAAAAAGACAAATCCTGCTGGATATGAATACTGATAAGGAGATGGTATGAGTTAAGGACAAAAGAATGCAGATATTATTTGATCTCAATGAAAAAGATCAAGGGTTATTGCATAGTCTCAGAGAATATAAAACTGAAGAATTGATGCAAAGCCGGGTAGTTCTAGTATTCTATGGTCACTGCCAGTGGAACTCCAAAGGGGTCATGGCAGTGAACACATGGCTTCCTAGAGGACGTTAGGCCTTTAGTCCACCTTCATCAAGTCTGTTTCAAATGGAACGGTCAGAGACATTCAGAGTGACCTGCTGGAGGTCAATCTATAGATCTGTCAAAGTAGCTTTCCTGTTCCTCCTTCTATAAACAGGTGACACCAATTTAAAATAATTTACTAATCCCAAAGGTAAATTAACTAATATAATAAATAAGATATTGTTCATGCTGATGAGTCGAGGCCCTCCAACCATGTTCATCCCTCTTAAGGTATCTGCTGTCTCTAAGCTCTCGAGACTTTCTCGGGAGACAAAAAAAAAAAATTCTAGCAATGACAAACGTAGATGGCCTGTGCAACCTCTAAAGCAGGGGTCACCAACCTTTTTAAGGATGAGAGCTTCTTCATGTCAATGAAGGAGGGGACCCCTGACAGATTTTGTTAAACAGAATTTTTATTACTTCTTTTCATTTCTAATTTTCTTTTAGATATTGTAATTTTCGAATCTTTATAAATGCTGAAATGCTATATAAATGATAAAAATGAAGAGCAATAGAATCAAATAAAATTTCAATCTGAGTTCACGACACCAAGGTGTCTTGAACCCCCCATGTGGTCCTGGACCGCATGGGGGGCCCTTGACCCCTGCTCTTAAGGGTCCAGGTATGGCGTTATGCCACCAGTAGTGACACTGATCCACGGCAAAGATAGCTCTGGCCTCCATCCAGTAAAGCAGCTGGCACAGATTAACAGGTTACTAGGTAACGGAGTGGAATAGTACAATAGAACTAACCGACTAGGTATAACACGCTGATTAAAAGCTTACTTATTGTTTGGGAGTAGCTTTTGGAAGCTGAGCTTGGATGTTTCACATTGTGGACAGGGGGAAACCAAGAAATCTATTTAGGTGTAACATCATAGGTTAGATTCCAAACCCAAATTGAGTTCATAAAAACCTTTAGTTGCCTTTAATCTAAAATAGGTTTCTGAAATTTTCCCCAGCAAGGCTCATCATATAAAGAATAAAATCATATATTTATGATACTGTTTGTCTCAAAAAATAACAATTAAGATATTTTGACCTTAAAACAAAAGAAAAAAAAACAACTAAGCAAGACAAAAGCTAGGGCCCCACCCTATCAATAGGGGGCCCCATACGTATAGTGACTGGGTGGGTGATTTAAACATCTGTTTTCCCTGAGATAAAGTTTATTTGAGGTTTGTTCTCAAATAAAATTTAGGACTTGAGGACGCAGAGCTTATTGTAAGACATACCACCTTTATTAAATGCACAGTATCACAAGAAACATTTCCAGTAATTGTGGATAAGCTACTCACATGATGCACAAAGCATTGAATTGATTGATAGAACTGGCTGATTAAAGCAGGGTCAAATCCGCCAGAAGAACTCCACACACACACACACCCACACTTCCATTCGGTGCTATGCGCAAATACACACACACAATCGCATCCACAAACAGAAACACACACTCATTGTATTTTATAAGTAAAATTTGTTATCTTCACAGGAATGAAAACTCTTGTCTTTTTTTTTTCTTCTTTTACAGTATATTTACAAAAAAAATCATTGACCCTCCCCAAGATAGAATACATTCAAAAAAGATCCCCACCCATCTAGATTACATTCAAAATAATATACTATTCATGATGCAAAGTCACAGTTATTCATCTGAAAGAGGATCAAAATAGGCTACAGTCTGTCAGAGGTGGTCAGGGTTGCGGAGACGGACAGGAGGAGATCTTTAGATCGCCGCCTCCATCTGCCACACATCAACTAGGGCGCCTGCTGGCGAGGAGAAATCCGGTTATGTAGAGTCTATGTTCCTCCTACAGACAGGGAGCATCTGAGATCACTTCTGTACGGGCTCTCCATCACAGTGGAGAGGAAAAGAGGAAATCTTTATTTTTTTTTCTTCTTCTTCTTCAGAGAGAAAAATAAAACAGATTGTTCAAACGACATCCTCTTCAGATTCAAAGTTGCCAAAGGAGGAGGGTCGTTTTCTCTCAGGTATCATGAACGTACACGAAGAAATCATACAACGCCGCACAAATAAAATCCTATTTACATTTAGTATGTATTGCCAGTGGCTCATAACACATTGTTTTCAATAGGTGTCACACAGTTTTGATGTACCTGCTTGGAACAGATTATACAATTAAACTTAGCCTACTAATAATATAGACAGTTATCAGAACTGTACAGGATGGACAGCAATTTATATACAGCCCACACAGGACTATTATACAGAACAGTGTATAAAAAACATAGTGGCACTCACACACACACAAAAAATGCTTGTTTTCCCCGTGTTTAAACTTGCTTCAGCTTACAAAAATGCTACAAATTGCACCTGACAAACAAAACTCATTGGGTGACTCCTTTACATATTAAATAAAAAACCCACAATAGTTATTTTGATGAGGTCGAGATGAAAGCACCCGAGCATTACATTAAAGGCAATCAGATGCTAATTTACTCTACTGCAATATAGCAGCATTCTATTTTTACAATGCCTTGTAGAAGTATTCACACCCCTTGAGCTTTTTCATATTTTATTATTGTACGACAAAAGCTGTGAATTGAGCAAGCTTGGTATGTAGGAAACCGAAAACAAAGCGGGGAATGATTGTGAAATTGAAGGACGGGGATACGCAGGTTTTCAAAATCCAGCTGTAAAGGCCTCAGAGGAACAAATAGCTCAACAAACCTACCAAACGTGCAAAACGCGGTTGCCCACCGGAACTGACACAATGGCTGAGGAGACTGTTGATTGAAAAGGCCGCCATGAAACCGATGGTAGCTACAGAGGAGCAGCATTGATCAGCAGCTCAGTTGGACGAATCTTACAACAGAATAACAATCAGAAGAAAGCTGTTTTTTTTATTTATTTTTTTATGGAAGAGTGGCAGTAAAGAAATCTTCATTTGCAGTTTGCCCTAAACCACACGGGGAGACTCATAAAGCGACGGCCTATTGGTTAGGGCATAGAGCTTGGAATCCTGAGGTTCTGAGTTCCAGCCCCACTCCCACAGACTGCCACTCTGGGTCTCTAAGCAAGACCCTTTACTCCACACTGCTCCCCGGGTGCCCCACGATGGCAGCCCACTGCTCCACAAGGGGATGGGTTAAATTCAGAGGTAAATTTCTCCAATGGAAGATTAATGAAGTTCAATTCATTAAAAGATGTGGAAGAAGATGCCCGAATCAGATGAGAGTATGATGTTTGACCTGCATGAAAAAAACACTAATTATAGCAGGATATTTCTCTGCACATCACTTAAAGCGAAACACACCAGTAAAGCATGGTGGTGGCAGCATAATGTTGTGGGGATGCTTCACTTTAACTGGGACAGGGAAGCTGGACTTAGAAAATAAGGCAATATTCAATATTGTTCATCCAATAATATGAGTTTTGTTTAATAGTAACAATTCTTTAGTCTAAATTATTCTATAGTGGCTCTAACTCTCTGTCCTTTGGAGAAAATATCTATCTTTAGTCTTTTTTTCTTCTTCCAGGGTCACCTTGTATTCACTACTATCAATCTTCCCATAAACTCTTTCCATGTACATGTAAAAACCATGTAAAAACCCTCCCCGCAGTATGATACTGTTACCCCCATGTCTCAGTGTGGAAATGACTTGTTGACACATAGATGTAAACTTTAAAAAGCATGTTTGCAATTAGTGTAAAGTGGAAAACCATTTTTTAAAAAGTTTAAAAATATATATGCGTCACTTGTAATGGTTGATCACATACAATTCTAATTTTATACCTTTAAGTTGGTAGTAATAAGTTAAAATATGAAAAAAGTCCCAGGGGTATAGCATATTTCTCAAGCCACTGGATATAAAGAAGTAAATATTAAAAATACTAAAGCCAGACAAATAAATAAATAAAATAAATAAATAAATCCTGATATAGCATTAGAAAGCCCTCACAGCCCATACATCAATCGGTCTTTTAGGAGCCCAAAATGTTTGAAATCCGGCTCTGAAACATCAGTCAGAGACGAGCCACAAAACCAAGTTTTCCTTTTATACTCAATGGCACTGCAGGTGAACGACAGACAAATGGAGAACTAAAAACAACCACTGCCCTCATTCTCACACCTCTGTGCTTCAAATAGCTCTGCTGATTAAAACAAAGCCTTAACAACCGTTTCCCACTAACACATCATGATATTTTTAACAAGAGTAAAATATGAACAGATATTCACAAAATATGCTTTTTTTTAAATTAACAATGTAAAATAGATTCCCTTTTATTTCACAATTTTGAATTAATCGTTTTTTTCACTTGTGTGTAAAAGTTTTTTTACATATACATGACTTAAATACCAGATTTAAATCAACTAGAATTAAAAAGCTCTATCTACATAGATTTTCCATATATTCTCAGTCAATGAGTGTTTCCGGCTTTTTGCTGTTTTTTTTTCCCTTATTTTTATTTTTTACTCCCAGCAAATAAGAAACCCAGTGTGGTAATGTATTCACATGGTGGAGGTTGACCTATCTACTTGTTTTTTGTTTATTCCTGATCTCTAATTTGAGTCAAAGGACATAATCCTGTGTATATTTTCATTTCACTCTCTGAAACATGCCTCAGAAAATCTGCAAATGAATAAAAAACAAAACTAAATCGAAACTCAAAATTTAAGGCTGCTCTTCATGGAATGAGGACAGGGACAGTTTGCATTTTACAGTCACATTTACAACCAGGTTCTGTACATTGATTTAGTCACACCACCTTCTCTTCCTACCCTCACTGCATCCTAACATATTCTCCAGCACCCAAACACCCATTTAGGTAGGAAGCACACAAGCACACAAAGTACATACACAGCTGCTGATGCATCAGCCCAATATATCCAGGTAGACAGGTGAGGCCTTTGCCAAGCTCTGCAGCATGCTGTGGATTTCCTTGATGTTTAGCCTCATGTAGGGCTCCCGCTGCCAGCAGCCCAACATCAGGTCGTATACCTCCTTGGGACAGGTACGGGGCCGCTGCAGGACTCGGCCTTGTGTAATGCATTCAATCACCTGTAGGGGACATTTTAATATGTCAGATTTCTCCCTTTATAATATACAATAACTTACTTTTTTATTTAAAATATCAATACAATCAGAATAATAGAAATAAGCTTAGAGCTTAGTCATACAAGAACCACAAACTGCAGTGTATTTTATTAGGATTAGGAGTAAAAGCCCAACTTGGCTGGCCTCTGGAGGGATTTAAAGGGACATTGTGGAACAATTTCTCTTTTTACTGCCTGACATCGCTGACTGTTTACATATATGTTATTGTTGATGTATTATTTCCTCCACTAATAATCAGAAACATGCCCACAAGCATAGAATTTCATATTATATACACAAGGCTTGGAACCAGTTAGTGAAGCGGCATGACAGCTTGCTATATTGAAAGTACAGATGCAGACGAGGGATAAAATAGTACTAACGAGCAAAATAACAACCGGTGGTGAAGATCATTGGGAGACGCTAACCAAACAGCTACAAGTCTGCACAACTGCAGCACAATGCATGTGCAGCAGCAGCCCGAGAAACGGTTTCCCCATTCAAAAGAAAAGGAAAAGAGACTAGGAAACCAGAGACATTAAAAAAACATGAAGGACATTGGATAAATCTTCTCCATTTGAAAGGAGCAAAAGAAGGAGAAAGATATGAAAAGTGATGCTGAAGTTGCAATGATTCTCCTTGACATGTAGTCCTGCTGAAATTAGGGTAAAGCTTCCTTTTTCCATTCAGATTAATTTGAAGGTGTTGTTCAATTGCATAACAGTAGATCCTGCAAATATATATTGATAATATATAGATTTCCGTGGGTTTAGTAGCTTTCAAAGCCATGATGGACACTGGCTTTTAGTAAAAGCCAATAGCCATAAGAGCTCTGCTCTTGCTGTTGCCCACAGCTAAATGAATAAAAAGGAAATGCATCTTTCTCTTTGATGCTCACATTTATCTACGCAAAGTCATTTAGACAGGTTCTTAGAAAACATCTTATAAAATGTATCTAAATCAGGAAACTTCTTATAAGCTACATGCCAATCAGGCTGAGTAAATGCCATCTACCTCCATTAAACTTCTACAATGCGTATGTAGTATCCCCAGCGGATCAAAAGGCAGATTTTATTATCACATTACTCCTTAACTGTGGGAGAATAGAGCTCAGCTACACTGACAAAACTGGAGTACCGTCTACTGAGAAAAAGCTGGGTAACTTTTTCCACATATAAATTCCTTGTAGATTTCACTCAATAAAATCTAAGTTGGTTTTACTTACTAAGAAGAGTTGATTTAAAAAAGTTAAGTACATTTTACTGCCAAATGTCTCTTATAAACAAAAGACGTACCTTTTTCTGCTAGTGAATTTTATGCAGACACAGGAAGCTTAAGCGGAAATTCAATCTGGAAGACTCTTATCAGCTTCACCTGAACCACCTGGGATGTCCCTTGTTTAGCTCCAGCCAATCAACTCGGGGCCGCACCCTCTCTGAAGCCAAACATCTTGCAAGATCCCCTTCATCTAGCTCCTGGCTCAGCTTCTCTCTCCCGTAGCATGTTACATGTCACCTGCCTCCCACCCAACTTCTTCCTCATTCTCTGTCCTGCTCATTCTCTGACTTATTCCACCACCAGTGTCCGCACGCCGGGGTAAGATCACTCTAATCCTTTTCTAGGTTACTCATCCAAGCGTATGTTGAATCACACCATTAAAGTCCTCTGCCAGGGCATAATCGCCAAATAACTTATTTCATTTATGTCATCATCTGCTTCTGTCACCTTGAACCCCAGTCGGCCTCGGCAGATGGCCACTCACGCTGAGCCTGGTTCTGCTAGAGGTTTCTTACTGTTAAAAGGGAGTTTTCCTCTCCACTGTCGCTATATGCAGGCTACGAATCCTCGCAATCAGTTGGTTTTCCTTAGAAAGAAATATTTTGAAGAATGATTGTTACATGTATAAATAACTATTAAAATATTCTAATTGCAGCTTTTCTCTGGGTGAGTCTCTCCAGGTTGAAATACAACTACCGGTATGTACACAGAAGAAGAATATAAAGAAGCCAAGAAGTTTGTGGACTGTGGGAGGAAGCCAGAGTACCCAGAGGGAACTAACACATACACATGGAGAACATGCAAACTTCGTGAAGAAAGAACCTGGACTAGAGATCGAATCCTAAACCTTCTTACTACAAAGCAACAGAGCTACATACTATTCCACCGTGCAGCCAACAAGTAAACAAGATGTTCTACTTCTGATCTAAACATGGCCAGGCAAGGAAAAATGCACCAAGTTTACTTCTAATATCCAAGTACTTCTTACTTGTATCTGTTAAGTTGGGAAACTATTGAAGTTGTTTCGTTAATACTATTTCGTAAGATGAATTAAATGTACTTGCCTTTTGATGGATATAGATTTACAATTAATCCTAAGTAGAACATTGGGTATAAGGTTTCATTTTGAAGTAATGGCACATATATAGCAAGATGCAGTAAATTTTATATAAAAAGTGAGGTAATAGTTACAGGAAAAAGTCCCTTTTTCAGTGTAGAAGTATTAAAGGCACTACACTTTATAAGCTAACCGAGTGTCTTAAGATCAAATGACTTGATCCGTTAAAAAATACATAAAAATTAAGCTGTTTATTTTCTATTATCTGTCACTCTTTAACAACAAAGTCTGAATTTCCCTTAATGCAATCATTGCCATCTCAGAGGTAATTTTAGCTTTAAATGTAAAGGTTAAAACCTTGATGTGACTGACCTCATTGTTGGAGAGCTGGTACCAGGGCTGCTTGCCATACGTGAAGATCTCCCACAGCACCACACCTAGACTCCACACATCGCTCTCTGTCGTGAACCTCCGATACATGATGCTCTCTGGGGGCATCCAGCGGATGGGCAGCATCGTATGACCGCCCACCTGGGGACAAGGAGCAGCCTCCATTAGCAGGCCTCCTCAGGTCAGATCAAATGGTTTTAGTGGCTAGTTACACCATTTATAATCACTTAATTATAAAAAATAAAATCCAAGAAATTTTTTGCTGTTGTGCAAATCCAGAACAAACATTTTTATGTATTAAATTAATTACAAGCCTAATGATTATATTAAGAATAAAGCTACTAGTCAGACATTTATGTCAGTCAAGCTCATTCATGGAACATGTCCACACCAATACTTTTTTTTTCATTTTTTTCCAAAATAATAATACACTAAAGAAAAAACTAGCTCTTTAATATAGCGGCTTAATTGCCTGTATCCTAAAATATTTCAGCTTCTAAATGTTTTAAGATTGGAACACACATCCAGGCTGCTTTTCTGGAAAGAAAGTTCACACTTTACACTGTTTATGTATGTATAGAGCATCTCTGGATCAGATGTCCCAGACTAGCTTCTCTCTTCTCTTTGTTAAAACAGTGGGTGGTTGGTTTAGGACACAGTTTTAATAATGAACTGTTTATTTTTGGTCCTAGATATTCAAAAGCACAAGAGTGGAATATTTGTGTGGTTAATTTTCTCTTTGGTCAGGCAAAGTTTTGGCTCACCAGGAGAAATAACATGAAGGAGGCAGGTTCAGTAGATGTTGAAGTGATGTTCAGAGGCCTGGTAGCGGCACGTCTTAGGACAGAGTTTGCATATTATAGAATGCTGTCAAATCCTAAGGAGTTTATTTCTATTTGGGGAGGTGGAGATGTTTTATGTTGTGTAAATAATCAAATGCTTATTCTCAGTTTTTGAGGGGGATGACTTTGTCTTTTGTTTTTTTTCTTCTGGCTTGCGGTATATGAGTATATGTATGTAATTTACTTGTGTTATTGTAATTGAAACATTGGACCAATAAAAGGAGTACATGGTATGTATGTATATTTCTATCTTTAATTGCCTTCTAAATCTTTTTTTATTTCTCAAGTGACGTTTTGCTTATTTAGCATCAACATACAAACCTAAGGCATTTTAAAGGTGTCTAAAAATCTACTAACAGTTGTAATTGGTCATTTATAGTGATAATTAAAGTGATGCATAAAATAATCAGGTCAACTGTTTCAAGCTTTTATAGAACTGTTGATATCAGATATCTTGTACATTTTACTTTTTATAAATATTTTTTTATTTATCCATATTTTTATCCTAAGTGTATATATTAGTATATTTTTTGCATGCCTTATACCCCAGTGTTTCTAGAGATTTTTATAATTTTATTTACTATTTCATCTATGTTTTATGTTGCACGATTGTACCATAAAAAATTCCTAGTTGTGAACTCCTTCACTAACAATGGCAATAAACCCGATTCTGATTCTGAAAAGTAAATTAGTTCTAGGGTACTGGAGAGTGATTTTTTGAATATATATCACACTTGTGCTCTATGGTTCACCTTCCAAATGATGTAATTTATCAGCTGGTTTGTTCTAACAGACTCAGGAAGAGTTTTCACAACAGAACTCAGATCAGTGCTTCACTTCGTTGAGCCGGCGACATACATCTGTATTATGTAAAGTGATGATAAGGATTTATTTGTAATTTTTGTTTTGTTTTATGGAAATACAAGTAACCAAGCTTTTATTTCACATTGTGCTTTAACTTAGAATTAGGCTTTATTTGATTAAAATGACTATCAGTGATGTGACAGTTTGTTTACCTGTTTTACATCTCACTGTCCAGCAGAGGGTGCTGTGGGATTCAAGTTAAGATCTGAAAGAAACTGATTTTTTCTAAAAATCCCACCTGCTCCTGTCTATGTCTTTGTTTTACACTGATCAGGTTTATTATCACCTCCATAAATAGCTGCTGTCTCATGCATACACACATGGATGCTTACACTGTGTACTGCTTTGTGGTTTAATATGATGCTGTCAATGTGAGTGGGATAATGATTTGATTCATTGCCTAAATAAATTGCAAAACTATGCTTGCTTTTTTGCCTTGTCTAGCCTTATTACCATGGAAACTTTAAATTTATGTAGATTACCGAATTTACATTTAAATGGTTTTAAAAGTAAGCCTTGCTAAAACTGCTATTTCTGCTGCAACAAACTCATGTCACCAAAGCTGGAGAAAATAAATCAATATTTGTAGCTCCTTGTGTTTCTCCTTGAGCACTGCAAAAATTTGCATTAGCTGTAGGGGGAAACAAACAGATGTAGAGGAAAAAAGATGTAGCTTTGCTTACCCTGTAGTAGTCTGTGCTGTAAACATCCCTCGACATGCCAAAGTCTCCAATCTTGACCAGAAGGTTTTCCCCTACCAGGCAGTTCCTTGTTGCCAAGTCTCTGTGGACAAAATGCTGGGAGGCCAGGTAGACCATGCCAGCAGCAATCTGTTGGGCAATGTGCAGCATCTGAGACTGGGTGAGCTCCACCAGGATACTGTGCTGACCGTCTGCCATGAGAACCGCATCAGGACCGTGGGACCTGCACCCAGAAGCCAAAAGCATATTTGAACTAGTTACTAATACTAAAAATTTATAAAAAAAATAAAAAATAAAAATTTTATATATATATATATATATATATATATATATATATATATATATATATATATATATATATATATATATATATATATATATATATATATATATCACAATTCTGTTTTGAAGGTATAGAGGGCAATCTTTTACTTCCGGGTGGATCATATAAATAATTGCTCCTCCTAATTGTCGATCGTTCTGTTGATATGTTTACATAAGGCCGTCCTAATTGCTCATCCCGTTAGCTATCTTTTTCTGCACATGCGTACTTTCAGGCGTATGATAGTCAATGAAGCTCACCTTTCTCACCACGGTTCTTTGAAAATGGGTAATAACAAAAAAAGTGTCTATGAGGGTATATGAGAACAAAAGAAAGGCCTCAGAAAAGGCAGAAATATCCCAGAATGCTTTGCCCGGAGAGCTCTCCTCGAAAAGTAGAGGAAGAGGAGCGTGGTCAATGGGGAGCAAAAAGCAGTGATCATCTGTCAGATAACAGTCAGTTATCCGAGTTCGCTATAAAGTCCACTATATAGTCCCCACTCTTGGGCACAGTTAGCTTGTGTGAGCTATGAGAACAGCAATTTTTAAGCAGAACAAACACAAGGAGAAATAGGCTTGTACACGCTCTTGCATGCGTTTAATAGGCGTTCCCAGTCAGGAGAGGGTACAGGGTTGTGCATGTGTATTTTTTTTAAGTGGAGGGCGGGTCTTTTTGAAAAAAATCCTCTACAATACCTTAGATTTATGACATTTTCGCACCTGAGAAACTTGTTCAGGTCTCCATGTTTCATGTACTCAAACACCATGATGAGGGGATCGCTCTCCACGCACACTCCATAGAAGGTGACAATGTGATCGTGCTGCAAGTTGGTGAGAAGCTCGGCCTCTCTGTAGAAATCTGCGCGGCCGCTCTCGGTGGCCTCCTTCAGAGTCTAAGAGACAGAGAGCAGTACGATTAACAGGAACAAACATCCAACTAAAACAGTTCCCCAGTTCCCTGAGGGAGGTGTCCCGATCCGTACCTTGACAGCCACATGGATCTTCTCATGGTCCGGCACCAGGTTGTAGCACTCCGCAAGAAAGACTTTCCCAAAAGCTCCTTCTCCCAGCTCCCGTTTTAACACGATGTTATGCCTTTTGATGTGCTGAACAACTTTTAACAAAGAACACATCAAATCATTCACAACATGATGGTTTTATCTTTATTTTCAGTTCAATTAAATAAAAACATGCTTTATTTATCCAAGGGAAATTAAATGTGGTAACTCATTGGCTCTTTTTCAATGACTTGTTGTAGATGTTGATAGCTGTAGATAGGAGGGCTTTTCACTGGCAAAATATCTTTTAGTAGATATTTTGAAGTAGACATTAAAACTTTATGCTGTAGTGTCATTTTCAAAGCTCTGGTCAAGCTGTTGCAGCAGAGGCATGTTTTAACATTCTGTTTTGTATAAGATCCATGAATAACAACTTTTGTTACTTTGAAAATGTGGGTACGGTATGCACATCATGCAGACCTTTCTTTGTATAAAAATCCTAGCCAAAACATTTGGTTGCAGCATCAAAATCGTAGAGTTTTCATAAAATATTGAACCTAAAAGTTGCTCAGTACGACTCCTCCGCCAATTCAACTCTTAACATTTCAGAAGTTCCAGATCCTTACAGTTTACACCTGAAATATGCATCTTTTCATTTTCAAAACAAACAGCAATTCTTATTCACCTCATCACTCTTTGAATCTCTATCCTTCTAAAATTCTCACATAAAGGCCACATTTCTATAAGACCAGGATATGCTAGAAAAAAGTCAGCAGGTTTTCCCACTTGGTTAAAAAATGTTGAATTGAAAGAACAAACAATAAATAAATCTACCACTGCTTGCACAGGAAGAAGGATCATTGTGTGACTTGTTACATTAAGGGGAATTTCATTCAGTACATCTTTTAAATAAAAACTATTAAATAAATGTTGAAATTTTTGTTCATTTTTATGCATTAAAAAAGTGTATTTATTATATTATTCATGAGCATCATACTGTTATACCAGGGCAGTGAGTCATTAGTAATGTTGTATGACAAAGTGATGTGTTGTCTTTTTCCCCTTTTATTTAGAGTAAAAAAAAAACAAAAAAACAAAACTATTATTATTGTCAGCACTGCTTTGAATTACCTCAAAGAAATGTTTACAAAAGCTATTTGAGTTTTCTGCTCCGGTCTCTGCAAAGGTCTTTCTCCCACCATGTTTTTGTCTGTGTTTTTTATTAAGAAAGCAAACTAAAAATAGGTTAAATTGAAAATGAGATTCACGTTCTTTACACAGCAAATGACAAAAAAAAAGATGTAGAGTTTCAATATAATAAAACTTTTCTTTCTATGAACATCTTTTATGGGCTTCGCACTTGGCTCCTAGAGCAGGAGGAACTAAGGTAGGGAATGTGAATATAAATACATGGCGGACAGAAATGAATCCAATATGGATTTATCAGAAAAGGCTTCGGGTTAACAGAGGTTGGTCAAGCTAGGCGGTAACTCACACGTGTCAGGTTTCAGCATGCTACCGGAGTTACGGAAGTACTGCGGATTCTCAATGACAGGAATCTTTGTCATCCCAATGATCACTGCGTCTGGACCCATCTCCGAGGACGACGGGGTGTTGTTGCCATTGGAGACGTGATGAAGAGGGCTGGCAGAGTCATCGTCGTTGCTGATTACCGAGGAGGAGCCTAGGGACCCAGAGAGAAGGGGAAAGAAGGAGGTGGTCAGGAAAAAGGAGACGGAGAGATGGGCAGAGAAGAAGGTAAAGAGTAGGAGGTTGGTCATTAGGATAAAGGAGTAAGAGAAGATGGAAAGAGGAGAAGAGAGGTAAACAAGGTAAAGGGATGATGAAGTGTAAATGGATGGTTGGTACAACTACACCCTAATATTAGGTTTCTGCAAAATGTGACAGTAATTCAAGTCTAACACATATGCTGCATATAGATATATTAATTTATACAGGGAATACCAATAACAGTACTGATACATTATTATATATTAAGTGCTTAACAAGGATCAACTGTTGCAGGCATTTTGGGAAAAACAAGCTAAATTATGTAATAACCTGAAAAAAACTCCCACCATTTCTTCCAAAAAGTCACATAGTGAGAAAAAAATACAACTATGTTTTTCTTTCATACAAGAAACACAGTTTATATCTTCTGTTCTGGCCTCTTGAATTAAGCGACTTTTAATTAAGCATTTTATAAATCCCTACATTTCTGCCATTTTTTGGGTTAAGAATAGGGTATTTTAGAGTCTTGTAACACCATTAACTTTCTCTCATATGCCTTTTTATAAAAACAAGTTTCAGTGCAATTTGTGTTTTATATGAGATCAGAAGAAAGCAGCTTATACTTTTGTATTAAAAAGAAAGATTTAAAGAGGTTTATTTTTTAGCATAAGTATTCAGCACCAAATTACATTGTTACTCCTAAAATAAAAATAAAACAAACTGGATATCTTGATTGCTTACATAATTTCTAAAAGTCGCACTTATCATTGATGATCTCTATTCATCTTTGCATAAATGGTGATGTTCTGTGAAGGTTTTGTGTAAGAACATTAGTGACCCTACCATGAAGACCAAAGAACACAGCAGACAGATAATGCTAAATGATGTCCAAGGAAGGAGCAAAACATTTTAGATATGTACAAAGCTGGCACAAATACATTCCCAAACACTTGCAAGGGTAACTACAGCAAACATTTAGTCCTAACAAGTATGAATATAGGAAAAGTAGGAAATAGAAATGTTCAATGCACGCCAGATTTTTACTTAAAAAAAGTCCAGCAAAAATAGAAAGTTCAAAGCCCACAAATACTTTGGCAGGACACAGGTTCTCTCTTGACAATTGGCTTTTCATATGCGTTTTTAGAACATTGTCAGAACAGAGAGCAAGAAAGTTTAGATTTCTAACAGTTTGCAAAAATACCTGAAAAAAAAAAAAATCAAGGAATTTTTAAAAAATTTTTAAAATCCTCTCGGAAAATGACAACCAATAGGCTTAATTCCTTTATTTATTAAAAAGAAGAAAAAAAAACATATTTATTTTACCTTTAATACCAAAGCTTGAGTTTCGTCCATATTTCAGAATGATCACCATGAGGACACAGCCAGTCAAGGCAACACCAGCAATTCCCACAACGACATATACCTGAAAATTAAAAAAAGAGAGCGATTGGGAATTCAGTGAAAAGTCCAAATAAACTGTAGTAATCACAATAAAATGCTGATCCCTATAAGTATAATTCCTGCTAACAGCGCGCGTAAAAAACAGTTTAGAGAATTTAAATATTTGCTTTAGTACATCAATGTGGTATCTGCTGTTGGATTTAGATCTGGAGTTTAAGATGACCATGGAAAAGGGTTAATTTTGTGACAAAGAACTGAAGTCAGGTTTTATATTATAAATCAGCTCAAGCTCTATTATAAGCTCTACTTCAAAGACAATAGTATGAGCTTAATCCAAAATATTTATATGGCAAGAGACACCTACGTTGATTTAAGGGGTCATAGAATGCAAAACCGAGTTTACATTGTCATAGATGAATAACGAAATGGACGTACAGAGCAGTTCAAACCCCATATCCCCCTCTTTTCTCTGCAAATCTCACAAATCTAAACTTCCACCTTAAAACAGGTGAATGGAAACAAAGCCTGACGTAAACTCTGGGATGTTGCCCTATTTGGTTCTGGTCTGGTCCCGGTGGGGGGTGGGTGAAGTGTCGACGGCTGGACCGGACGAGCCGTCTGCCTTACCTGCACCCGGTAAGGCAGACGGGGGGAAGCGCGGGGATGCCTGTGTCCAGGCTCACCAGGTCGGGTTCAGTCGCTCCGTCCCCCACTGGCTCTTGCCCCCGCCCGCCAGGGTTCCTGGACCAGCCCCGGAGCTTACGGCCCGGTTTTGTTGCACTGTAGTCGACCAAAATCCCAGACGATTTAGAAAATCTACCTGCACATCTTTATAGGTATGAAAAGTAGGACATATCCAGGAAAAAGAGGACGTCTGGTCACTGTACCATATCAACAATATCGATGTTTCAGTGACTGAGTGCTTGTTGCTATGATGTGCTCAGCAGCTTTGCTCGTTGTAAACCAACCAATCAGTGCACAGCTCATCTAAATAATCATGAGCATACCATAAAAGGAAGAAAAACGGTTGTTTCATTCTAGGGCTTTTAACCAGGCTTGCATTAGGGCTCATAGAACAGCAAATATGCCATTTTCAGCCCAACCAATGTTACACACCCTATTTAGAGACCTTAAGGACCATCACCAAATACCCTATATAATCATTCTATGACCCCTTTAAATTTCCTAGCACAGCAACAGCATCACTGATCCCTTCTTTCCCTGGAAAGTGGAATGAAGAGCTTCTCCAAAATATCTTTTTTTTTTACTTTATACAAAACCCAAGCTTTATGCCAAAATGTTCAATTGTGTTTTTATCTGACTAAAGTACACAGTTCTAGGTAAAGTCACACTAGTGTGACATGTCCATTCTACAATATTAATTTGCAAATAGTAAGCATCTGATGGTTGTTATGAAGATTTGGTGACCAAATTTTTTTTAAGGTTTTTTCCACACCTACATGTAAAACAATAAAAAAAAGAATATTCAACGATATTCAACGATCAATAAATTGTAAACATATTTTAATTATAGAGGTTGTCAAAACATTGCATATGAATAGAAATGTTTTGGATGACTTACGGCAACGCTGTCGTCCAGAGGAGGGACTGGTGTATCTGGATGAATTCGGTAAAATCAGAATTATTGTCATGATTTTGTTGTTTGAAACTGCATGTCAACTTTGCAAAATCTAAAAAAAAAACCTACCAGTGTCTGAGCAGAGGATGCAAACAGAAGGCAAGGGAGAGATAAAAGATGGAAATCAGAAGACATTTTTGTTTTTTGGCAAAGTTATATTTCACATCAAACAAAGATAACTAGAGTAAATGCAAATTGTAGTTTTCAATCTATGATTCTATTCTGTAAAATGAGAAGCTATCTAAGACATTCTGACTTTTCATGAAGAAAACAATTCCCCATAAACCCCATTCAGGTTATGCTACCCTTGGTGGCTACAACCTTTAAATAACCAGTCTTTTATAATGCTGTGGGGAAATGTTGTTCCACTCGTCTTTATAAAAGTGTTTTTGACATACTAGAGGCTTTTTAAGTATAAACAACTGAGGACAATGCAGACTTTGACTATGTTCTCTATAAGTACTACTTTAATGTTGAATTTCTTTAACTAATTAGAGGCAGATTTCCTGTTGCACTCCACATTATCTCCATGCTACAGAACTCAAGTGTGCTTTAGCTCAAGGTCTCAAACAGACGGCTGGACATTTTCATACAAGATTTTCTTGTAGTCGGCCTCAGATTGTCACCCTAACACCATCATGTCTGTATGACAATTTTCTTCTTAAATGCTGGGGTAGTTCAGAGCTGATACAATGGGAAACACATTAATGGATTGATCAGTGCAGGAATCTTCAACGTTTTCCCGGCCAAGGACCGAAAACTGACGGCGAGATGGAGCAGGGACCCCCTAATTATATATATAGTATGAAATAGTGTTATATCAAACTGGTCCTATAGTCACTCTTTTACAGATGGAGTAATGTAACGGAAGTAATTTTACCCTGGGATTATTAGAGTATTTCTGATTCTGATTCCTGGATGAAGGGACAGGTGTTGTGAATGAAACGGTGCCCAGCTTGAAAGAGCACCTGTGTGTCGCTGAATGTGTGCACTGATGACTGACAGACATCTTCTGCCTCCATTTATCTGTTTACTACAGTGAGTTTAATTCATGTTAATGTTTATGTTGTCTATGTTTATGTTGCACATTTCAATTAGTGGAAAAAAAAAATGAAGAGGGGGAATATAAAAAAACAAAAGTCTAATCAACCAAAATTTTCGTGACCCCCATGCAGTACCTCCGTAGACCCCCTAGGGGTTGCGGACCCCCTGTTGATAATTTTTGTTTTCTTCCTTATTTTTATATTCTATTGGTGAACCATTAACACTGACCTAAAATGGAAATAAAGTCTTTGACATTGGCTCAGCAGGAAAGTTTAGACATTTATTGCAGTAATTATAATTATCCATATATACTTTGAAATGTGAGGAAAATAAATACATCCATCAGGAAAAATACCATTTCATGACTCTCATTGTTTTATAAAACTGAAATAATACTTACAATAGTACTCATCTGTAAATGAAAGAAGAAAAAAAAATCAGCAGTTGACCTCAGAACAACACTTGGGCAATATTTGTATTTCAAAACACAAAGCAAACTGACCTGTTGGACTAATGTTTGGTGGATCAATGAACTGGGCAGTTACTGTTTTTTCATCCTGGCCATGTGCGTTTTTTGCCACTAGTGTGTATTCGCCATTATGGATGTGGGTGGGATTGACCAGCTGCAGGCAGCCGTGGTCCTCGTTCTCTGTGGACACGTGGATCATGGTGCGGATGTAGTCCTGCTCTTGGAGCAACTCGTTCCTATGGTACCAGAGCAGTTGAGGTTTGGGGTTTCCTGTCACAGTGAAGGGGATGCACCAGTGGTGGTCCCGTTCAGGACCCAAGAGTTGTTGGATGGTCGGGGGGACTAACAAGGAGGCAACAACAAAAGAAGAGCAGTCATGGGTATAATGGGAAATAAAAGGAAATATAGCTGGTAAAATACCTCTATGAGCTTAGAGAGGAGAGATGTAAGAAGAAATTATAGACTTGTTAAACATTTTTTCAACTCTGACGACAGGAAAGCAGAGGAGAAGAATGTACAGATGGGTATTAAACAAGCAGAAACACGTGGTGAGGCATAAGGAGCTTTACAGGAAGAATAGTTATGTACAGGAAACATGGAAAGTCAATAAGACTTGCCAGAAGACACTAATGATAACAAACCATGAGGCCTTTTGCTTCCAAGAAAAACACATGATTTAGAAGAAAGCATTTAAATGCTCATCACAAAGGAAATTAGATCAAACTGAATGCAGCAATGTAAACAAGATTTCTACAAATGTAGGCCGTATTTGATGTCCTTACAAGTAATGTTGAGCTGAAGCGTGGCTTCAGTCTGACCGACCATGTTCTCAGCGCTGCATACAATCACCCTGCCATTATCATCAGGAGACAGGTCTGACAAGTTGAGGATACTCTCAGTTTCCATAGAGTGAATCTGCAAAGGTAAGATTATTGGATCAGTTATGTATTCTATGTAAACTTGCTTGATTCCTACAGAAAGAAAACAGCTAATAACTAGTGACATTCCACACTGATATGCAATCTATATATAAAATAAAAGCAACTAAAAATCATTATAGAAACTAAAGAAAAAATATCAACACAGTTACTTTCAAATACTTAAAATTACAGTTCATATTTAATCTTTTTGTGTGGAAAAAGTAAAGCAAAGTCTTCACTAATATTTCTTTAAATACCGTATATGAAAAATTCTTACAAAGGGCAGTAAATATCGGATTTCCATGCACAACTAAACATATATAACTGTAAGTTTCTAAGAAGCAAATCTCAGGATTAGCAGAGTTTGAAATAAAACCTAACTGTTTTATCTTATTTTATTAAACACTGAACCCCACTATGAGGTCTTTCTGTACGGAGTCTGTACGTTGGCATCGTGCAGGTTCGTCTTCCCCCCTCAGTCCAGACACATGAATGTAACACGGGTTAACTGGTCTCTAAAATCCCCCAAAGGTCTGACTGTGTACTGGCATGGTTGATGTTTGTCTCTTTGTTTCCCTGTGATGTCTGTTCATAACAGGTCAAACAAAGGATTTGCTCAAAAACTGCTGGAAATGGCACCAGCCCCACCGCAACCCTGCTATGACAAGAGGGTTATAGACAAGGAAAGGATAAAAATCTAGGTCACCAAATAATTGGCTTCCAAACAGTGATAATTTCCTGAATAGAATGAGTTACCTTAGACTGGTTTCTTAAAAACAAAATAAAAAGGAAATGGGCTCTTATTCTACGAAAAGAACTGATCAACTAGGTCCGGGTTCATTCAAAGAACTGTAAATCCTTTTTTCTTCCCGCCATGTAGGACATTGAATTTATCAAAACACACCCCTAAGAATGGTCCAAATTCACTAATTTATTAAAAAGTTATATATAATTATCTACATTATTTGGCTTAATATAAATTTGTAACAGCCTAAACTTTAAACAGAACAGTTTAAGACAGTTTAACACCAACAAGGGAGAAACTCAGTTTTATGTGTTTAATATTGAAGTTAGAGAAATGTATTAGATACATTTTAAATCATCAAACATTTGGAATTGGATAAATCCTAAATAACAAAAATTAAGAACACTAACTGCTATTCACACGATAATGAACAAGTGAAATAGTTAGCTTTACAGTAAGCGAAATAACTTAGAGTCAAGGATGTTTGTATCTAATAGCTTAATAGAAACATTACAGAGTCTGAAATAACTTAAACAAGGAAAGCATAGATTCTTAGGGTGCATTTGTTGTATAGAAATTTTTTATTAGTTGTTGTACCAGGGATTTATTTTCATATATTTACTCATCAATTGCTTAAATGTATTTACAATGTCATAGAGACACACATAACCAGGACATTAACAGATCTAAGGAAGGCACCTCAACCTCAAAGTCTTCTTTTGAAACTCTTGGAGGAAGCTGGAGTGCCTGGAGGGAACGCCTGAATGCACAGAGATACCATGCAGGAGCCAGGCTGGTTGACTACTACAGTGCTATAAGGTTACAGTAATAACAGCATCATGCAGCCCTTAGTAAGATTTAATCCAATGTTGGATAAAAAAATAAATCCTCTATTTAAGGTTACACATCAGCACTAAGAAATCTTTATCTGTTTTTTTTTTTTACTCGCTTCAAAATCCAATTGCAATTTGAGAACAAATATAGTTCATTTTTACTAATGTGGAATTGCAGGGATCTTTTGTTAAACTAACGAAAGCCAACAGAGCACTCTTTTATTGCAGGAGGCAGTGAAAACATTAAACAAACATACAAGTTGGCTAAGTAATCACTTCACACTTCCCACCCAGACCTCAGTTCAGCTGTAAAATTCCAACCTGTGTGACTGACTGCTAATGAGGTGGGGTCAGCCCCATTCCCTTCACACACTAACAGATTTTTCTGCCAGCTAGGACTAGGGGAGAATTGCGCAGAAGGAAAATTGTAAAAAAGGAAATCTTGTTGAGTTTCCTCTGGTTTAGACGACCTACAGAAAATGAAAAACAATAAAGGCCTCTCATACTTAAAAGTGGCCAATTTGAAGATATAATATTTGAAATAAAACAACTAAGATTGTGTTTTCACTTAAACTGAAGCTGACAATCATGAAATATATGGCTATAAGTGATTAAATAATTCGCATTACCTACATTTATTCTTTTACAATACTGAAAAAAGCACTATAATCTTTTTTAGGGGCAAATGATTAGAAGGGTTTAACAGCTTTTTGAAGGAGACCTGAGTCCCTGGGTGTTGCAGTGAAAGTGAACACCATGGTATGAAGAGGAAGCTTAGTAAAGCTTAGAAATCAGTCATATGATGAAGAAATAATCTACAATATGTTGAAATCTTAGCTCTTTATGAAAAATAGTGGAACTGGACAAAACTTTGTCAGAGAGAATAAAGACAAATAACTGGACTTTGGATTAGAGAATACAGAACATGACTGGCATGGACCACACAAAATTTTTTAGGGAGAATAACCTTGTACAAGCTGTGATGGATAGATATTTAAATGTCATGGTCTGGTGAGGCTTTGCTGCAGTTTGTCCTCGCTACCTTAAGAAAATTCCCCTTAACTTCTACCATAGCTCAGAGGATTCTTTAGGAAAACGGGAAACCCCACTGCAATAAGCTGAAGCAGAACTGCCCTTTGGAAAAAAGACCTAAAACAGATAATTAAATCCATCATGGATTGGCTAAATTCCTGAGCCAAGTCAAAGCTGGGATTTGATCTCAATAAATGGTCTGAGGAAATTGGCAGCACATCGGGAACCTTTCAGACATCTCACAGCTACAAGTGTGAGAAGTTAAAATTTTCTTGTGTTTACCTCTTAAAATCTCTTTATTCTCTATTGATTGACATACAATACAGTGAGGATAATAACTATTTGAACAGCATGCTATTTTGCAAGTTCTCCCACTTAGAAATCATGGAGGAGTCTGACATTGTCATCATATAGGTGCATGTCCACTGTGAGTGATATTCAGAAATCCCAACATATGATTTTTAACTACCGTAAATTCTCTAATATTGGCCTGTATTCCAATAGCGGCCGGGTCTCTAATAATGGCCGGTCTCGCTGTCAGAGGAGGTAAATAATGGCCGGTCTCTAATACAGGCCGGGGCTATAAACGTTTTTTCTGGGCATACCTCAACATTATACTTGTGGTAGTAAGTAACATACAAGTACCACAGCCCTGCGCAGCTGGACGAAAGGCCCTGACTGCTGCCCGTCTGCGCGAGGAAGAGAACAGACACGCAGCAGAACAGGAGGAGCGCGAGTGATGAGGAGATTAAAGGGAGAGATGAAGTGGAGGAGGAAACTGAGGAGGAGAATTAAACAGAATTGGAGGATTGTTTTTTTTTTTTTACTTCAAACCAAGCGAGACATGGTAACTGTACTTTTTCAATAAATGAACCTAGTGTTTTATAGGTTCAAATAGACACAAAATCTCATTTTTATTCATTCCACTGGTAGTCTGTTTTGCTCAAATAGCAATAGTGGCCTGTCTCTAATTCTGGCCTCTATCCAATAAAGGCCTGGACCGCGATGCACTTGAGTGAAATAAAGGCCCGGGCCTATATTAGAGAATTTACGGTATTTATTTGTATAATACAGCTGCAAATAGGCATTTGAAAAAAGAAAAGAGCTGTTAGTCTGCTTTCAAAATGTGCACCTCCACTCCATTTATTATCCTAAATTAGATGCATCTGATTGAGGTCGTTAGCTGCATAAAGACACCTGTCCACCCCATACAATCAGTAAGAATCAAACTACTAACATGGCAAAGACCAAAGAGCTGTCCAAAGACACTAGAGACAGAGTTGTACACCTCTACATGGCTGGAAAGGGCTATGGGGAAATTGACAAACAGCTTGGAGAAAAAGGTCCACTATTAGAACAATCATTAGAAAATGGAAGAAGCTAAACATGACTGTCAATCTCCCTCCGACTGGGGCTCCATGCATGATCTCACCTGGTGGGGTCTCAGTGATCCTAAGGAAGGTGAGAAATCAGAAACACAGAACTACACAGGAGGAGCTGATCAATGACCTGAAAGAGCTGGGACCACCATTTCCAAGGTTACTGTTGGTAATAGACGTCATGGTTTGAAATCATGCATGGCACGGAGGGTTCCCCTGCTTAAACCAGCACATGTCAAGACCCATCTTAAGTTTGCCAATGATCATTTGGATGACCCAGAGGAGTCATGGGAGAAAGTCGTGTGGTCAGACCGGAACAGAATAGAACATCTTGGTCATAACCGTGTTTGGAGGAAGAAGAATGATGAGTACCACTACCATCCCAAGAACACCATCCCTACTGTGGCGGTGGCTTTCACTGCATGGGACAGGGCTATTGCACTGTAGAGAGGAGGACCGGGGTCATGTATTACAAGATTTTGGGGAACAACCTCCTCCAACCTCCAGTTAGAGCACTGAAGCTGGGTGGAGGCTGGGTCTTCCAACATGACAATGATCTGAAGCACACAGCCAGGATAACCAAGGAGTGGCTCTGGAAGAAACATATCAAGGTTCTGGTGTTGCCTACCCAGTCTCCAAACCTAAACCCAATAGAGAATCTATGGATGAAGCTCAAACTCTGTGTTTCTCAGTGACAGCTGTAAAGTCCGTCAGGAATTGGAGACAGAGACACAACAGACTGCAAGGAACAACGCGACCTTTTAATTCAAACACTTGCAAGTGGAGAGCGTCACAGTTACACAGAATTTTTCAGTAAGCTCTAACTGGGATGGCTCATCCTCCCTACATATAGATCACTTTCGTGGGTAAAAGAGGTCACAAAACATTAACAGAAACTCTTCTGCACAGATATTCATCCTGTTATGAAACTCTGCTAAGTTTCTGCAGAGTCATCTTACACCCTTGTGACCCTCAATAATACACTGCTCGCATAAAAAAAAGATATAAGTTGAACATACAATTTTTACTTCGCACAGCCCAGAAACCTGACTGAGGATTTGTGTGCGCGGAGTACTCCGCCTCTCAAGACATGTGAAAGTGGAAATCAGCCTTCCCTTGCATATTATCCACCTTACAGCCATTTGGGATTAGATTATTCCAACATTAAATAGAGGTTGAAGTTAAACCATCTCACCTCGAAGGGGGATAAGATCATATCAAGGTTCCACAGGATCATTGGAACAGGGGAGCCTGAGGCACTGCACACAGCTTCAACATTACCCCCCTTCTTCACAGTCACACTTTTGGGTTTTAGCTCGACTTTGGGAACCACTGCAATTAAGAAAAACATCACATGTCACAATATATCACATTATGTCTCTATCTTTCGATCCAATCTTTATGTCTTAATGAAACCCAACAATGCTTTACATTACCACAGTCTGGTGGAGTGAGTGTGGCAAAGTCCCTTGTCTCTCCTCTTTCATCAGTGCATGTTAACTCTAGATTGTCGATGTCTTCTTGGAGTCGTAGTTTGATCCACAAGTTCTCACAAACACAATCCAGAGGGTTTCCAGATAGAAGAAGCCTTCAAAGAAACAAACAAGCACATTAAAGACAGTGTGAAAAAAGAGGATGTTGGGCAACTGACAGTTTTGCGTAAATGTGTCAACTTACGGAGATGTAACGTTGAAGTTCTGAAACGTTCTCCATGACAGCATTGAGAGATTGTTATCTCTGAGATTTCTGAGAAAAGAAGGACAAAAGCTATGAAAAGCCAAATAGGGGGAAGAGCTGTGACAAAATAACTCGAGAAATAAGATGCTGCTTACACATATTGAAGTTTTGTGTTGTTATAAAATGCATCTAAGGATATAGATGTCAATCTTGTCCTTGTCACCGTTCTGTTGAAAGTTACAATGCACATTAACTGTTGATCAGATAAATTTGTTGCTGAGACAATCAGTGTGATACTTACAGGTTTCTGAGGTTTATGTAGTGCCGCAAACTGCTGTCACTGATTTCAAATAATCTGTTTTGATAGGCAATGTATCTGTTGAAGGAGATGAAACCAGATGTTAAATCTATTATATTATTAAATAATCTTATATAAAATTATAAAATGATTTTAAGGTATTGAATTCTATTTTAGAAAATTATAAGCATTTTTAATTTTAAAATGTGGATATTGTAGCTGAAGCATATTGTTATTTTTGTTAAAAGTAAGCAAGTATAGTTTTTTTGCTATTATTTAATCAGAACTTCCAATCTAATCAAAAATGTCAATTTACACAGAAATTTCACAAAATATGCCGCTTAAAATGATACAAACTAGACATAAAACCCGCATCTATGATCGCCAACACCTGCTGGAGCTACGGTCACAAAATGTTTTAAATGCTGACATTTATGACCGTTTAAAAAAGCGGCAGAGTGCTATGGATGGATGTCAACAAAACAACAGCGGAAAATAACGGACGGAGGAAGAGATGCGCGAGACGGAGAAAGCGAGGTTGCAGAGGGGGGCCTAACTGCGAAGCTAAAGAGAGATCCCCACAGACCATCGCTTCCATCAATCCTGCTCTCCAACGTCCACTCATTGGAAAGAAAAAGTGAGATATGTAACTGCTGCGCCATCATTCTGACAGGGTCTTCGCCGGATGGTGCTGTTGGCCTGGGGGAGCTGATGCTGTACAGCACCGATTGAAACAAAGAGCGTGAGTGACTGTTCCCAGGCAATCTCCGGCATCTAGAGGGGAAGCACAGTCCTCTGCAGGTGAAAATGAGCAGAGCACTCGAGATGCTTCCCGCCCAAATGCTCAAACATCCACAGCTGGCTCCTCCCGGCCCCCTCCGGCTTCCACACCTTCTACAGCATTGTCTGTCGCTGCTAAATCTGCCAATGGCACCACTGCTGCTTCAACCACGTCAGCCTCTTCAACCCAGGGGGCTACCACCCTCACAGCATCCTCATCATCTTCCTCTTCCTCCCCTGAGCCAGGAGAAGGAGTGCTTCAGGAGCTGGAGGCAGTGGTAGCAGCTCAACAACAACTGCTGCTACCTTATTAAGGCTGCACTTTAAAAAATTAAATTGTCAAGAGAGCTGTTCTAAACAAAATGTCTTTTATTTACACTTGTGTATACAAAATGACAAAATAAATCTGTCTAAGTCTAAGAACTGTCCAGTGGGACAGTTGGTGGTGCTACACAGACAGAAAGTTCAGGGTTAAATATCCAGTCTTGGGACTTTCTGGAGCTTGCATGTTACCCGGTGTATGCACAGGCTCTCTCCTGATACTCAGTTTTCACCACATGACTGTTGGGGCAATTGACTGTTCCAAAGTGACATTTGGGTGTGAGTCCATGTGGTGTGTCTGTTGCATTGTGACGGACTGGCAACCAGCTCATGGAACACTATCGTCCTGCTATTACCCTCAGGGGATAAATGGGTATTGATAATGGAAAGAGAAAAGAATTTTTGATACTTAGCATCTAAATGTGAAATAACATTTAAATAGCACACCTAAAACAATTTTTTTAAGCTTTGATGAGATAAATTAGTATATAATTGTGACATGCAGCTGACCACAAATACCAGCAGATTACTTTGCATGAAACACAACTTCAAATATTTTTCAACTGAGCTTCTCCTCATTTTATGCTGTTTTGCATGATGGGGGAAATCAGTAAGTTGGCCATTCATCCAATGTCAACACCCCCTAAAAGCAGGGTTTTTGTTGAGCTGGGCAGCAGTCACCAGAACTCATTGGTTTGAGAGGCAGGGTTCACCCTGGACATGTGATCCGTTCCTAACCAGCCAACACAGACACATGCGCTAAACAACCATGCACAAAGTCACTCATACCTGAAGGGAAACTGTTCGTAGACTGTTTGTTAGCACCTGAAAAAATCCCTAAAATACAGAGGGGGGCATGCAAACCTCATACAGAAAGTTCAGGATTACAGCACAGGGCCTTTTTGTTATGATCTGATGACAACTGATGGCTGGCTTGATTGCTCATTTCATTCACCTGTCTAGCTCTGCCCTGTTTCTCATACCTGCTCATCTGATCCACCTTCTCCAGCTTCTATTTAAACTCCTTGGTCCCAGCCATCTGTGCCAGATTATTCTTGAGCCTTTGGTGCAGAGAATTTTCGAGCGTTACTTTTAGTGTTCTGTTTGCCTGAGCCTGACCTGTTTCTGTATTCGGACCTTTAAGCCTGCCTACCCCTGTCTGATCTGTTTTCCTGGCCTGTCTTCGAACTCCTGTTAGAGTCTTCTGTGGACTGAACCTGGATCTGCCTCTTGACTTCACCCTGTGGATTATCCTGCCTTCCCTCATCTACTCGGATCTGATCTCCTGTCACGTCTGCAGCCTTTTAGGCTTCAGAGTCTGGAACTCTCCGGTAGCGTCTGCTGTGTCTTGTCAGCCGGCCGGCTGGAATAATCCTCATTCTCTGAGCATGGACTGAACTATCAAACAAGGTTAGATCCTCTGTCAGATTATCATAGTAACTAAACTGTAGACGTTCTTGTGATTATAAGCCCCAGCCGCTGCTTCTGCAGACCCGTTGGTTTGAATAAACCCTCTTAGTTATTCCACTGTCTTTCCTGAATTCTGGATTCTCTGTTCTGAGTCCTGACAAAAGTGTTGCCAACGGTGGCATCATGTAGCCCAGGATGTTGTTTAAAAGTAATAGGAATTTCATGTTAAACAATACAGACTTATCTGATTTTACGTATCTCGATTTTTGTAAACAGTAAAAGGGTAGACTGTGCAAAATCTAACTTATTTGCCACAAGGCCAAGTTGATTGAAAAGTTGTTTTAAATAACAATACAGTTTGTTTTCAATTTAGCCGTCATGGTATGATAAAAAGAAAACCTTTATTTATTTTGTTAAAACAAATGCCTGATTTACGCCAGAAATGGACAGTTTTTACCAAAAATTATGACCTTTTTTAGTGAAGTCAAGACACCAAGAGGGGAAAAAAAGAACCAAATATGTTGACATAAAAGAAGACTTAGCTGAACTTCTTCCAGCGTATAAGAATAAATAAGGGGTAAGATGGCAATATGATACTGCATAATAATCTTGATGTCAGGAGGTGTGTCAGTAAGTTCAGTTTATTTTCCAAAGGTATCATTAGCCGTCTACTTGCTAAATAGTTGGAATAAACAAAAGCTACTGAGCCTTAGCTTAGAAATGATGTCTAAAGAAATGGTTTGTAAAGTCAGTTGTTGGTCATAGACAAGAGGGGGTACACTTCTTGTAACATTCAATCTGTATATCAATTATGCAGCTACCATTTTTTCCTCCAACAACTTGGTTGGTGTTTTAACTACTGGCTTTCCTGCCCCCTCAAAATTCATCTTCAGAGATTTTCATTAATAAAAACAGCAAACTCTCAGAATTCTGTTTCTGTTTTTTATTCCTGTTATCAACATAGATGGGGCTCATTGTTGAAAACTAAGTTTTGAATCATTTTCCTGTTGATAAATATAATTATTGAAAGAAACCAAATAGTTTGTTTCTAATTTGGCATTTGAACATTATGGTAGGTCACATATGTCTTTCAAAAAAATGGATTAAGTAATCACATTGTAATAATATTATTAGTTTAGTTTGAAAATTGAATAAAAGATAAAAAAAAAATTTTTACGATGATATGTTTCCCTGGTTCTTTTTGGGCTTAAATAGACATTTCTCACTTTAACTCATTTTGGTGATTAGAAATATGACACAGTATGTTGGGAGAAACAACCACCCATCTGTACGGAATTAAACCAGCCTCAGTATGGATTTATGAATATTTCACACATGACATGAATAAAAAAAGAAAACAAAAATAACAAAAAAGCTGGTAGAACAGTAGCTTCTGCCAACAGGAAGATTTCATCTGTTTTTTTTTTATTTTTATGAAAGCAGTTATGTAGTAATTAAGTACATCATGATACAGCAATTTAATTGCCTGTATCATAGCTTTGAGTGTAGACCGATATTACTATCAACCAGATATGATCCCAGCACATATGATGCATACATTTCTTACTCTTAGTGTGAAATGTTAAAATATGCTGAATCAAGTGATTTTACTCAAAAGACAGTCAGCAACAACAGGCATGAGAGCAACTAACCCATGTACATTCAACCAAGGTTACATAAACTTTTATAACTTTGTCAACTTGCATTTATCTGAAATTTTTGGTGCAGGCATTTTTTCTTTTTCAAAATAAATATAGGACTTTGACATTCCGGGTCTTATTTGCTTGTATCATTTGTTTACCTTTAAAACACAAGTTTAGTTTAGACAAAACTCCAAAATTATTATTCTGCAAATATCAAAAACAAGATAAAGATTGATATTGATCAATAAGATTAACAGGAAGAGTGCCCCCAATCAAATTCTGCCCATGCCCCTGTTTAACCTTTGGCCAGCTCTGCAAATTGGGTTACTCTCAACCCATTAGCTTTCACAGTTTGTGAAGAGATCTTTTAGGAACTGTATTTATTACAGTTCAGCCTAACAGATAAAGTAATGCAATTTTTGCCACGCTTAAAATCTGATTAGTCTGCTTTCACTAGCAATACGATACTATAGCCATACCCTATGCAGAGAGCCGGCTGCTGTACCCGCACCTTTCCCAATCTGCACAAAATGAAGGGTCATTTCCCACAAAAGGGGCGCCTAACATCTATGATGGCTCCAGCGCGTCTGCCTCAGAAAACTAAACCCAGTCTCCACTCTTCTCCGTGCAGTTGTAGGCTGTGTGGACCTCTGCAGCGCTGTAACAGGCACACTCACAGGCCTACACACTGACGCAGATAAGGGCGCACAACTCAAGCCAGCCTATTGCCAGCTGAACGCAACTGATATGATCTCATGTGTAATCTGTCAACAGTGTGGTCATTTTGAAATATTGAGGGTATCTCACACCAGCTACCACCCCATTTATTTATTTATTTATTTATTTTATTATTCCTCCTTATAAAAAAAGAGTGAGGAACCTGGAGGCTTTACTGCTGCTGGGCCAGATCGTTTTACTCCAGCACTCTTTACCTCTGGAGCCGTTTTAGGGAGAACAACACATTAATCCAAAATAAGCGTGACGCGCACCGCCTTTACGCACATATACATGCACGCGCGCCACTATCTCTTGCGCGCAACATATATATATATATATATATATATATATATATATATATATATATATATATATATATATATATATATATATATATATATATATATATATATATATATATATATATATATATATATATAGGTGTAATTGAGATATCTGCCTTATAAGTTGATAGGATCATTTTTACCCCACACATACTTACATTTCGGTGATGTTTTCCATGTCATCTAACGTAAGGACAGGGAAATCCTCGATCCCCGGTTCAGGATCAATACAAGCAATCCTTGAGATGGTGCATGTGCAGGATTCGGGGCAATAGGAGTCTCCGGATCTCCACAGCCCCATCAAAAGCACAAACAATCCAAAACGAGCCATGCCATATTCCCCCGCGCTGGAGTCCATCGCGGGGCCAATGAATATATCCTACCCCACGAATCCCCCACGACAGAACGGAATCTGGTCAAACTAAATGATTGGGATTTTTTTTTTTCTAGATGAACTTATATCTTCCACTCAAAAAGAAGAAGTAGGTGGGATTTAAAAAAAAAAAAAAAAGAGGAAGAAAAAAGATTGTGCTGTCAGTGAGGAATGCGCAAAGCCCACGGTTTTAATATCAAGATGCCATGGACTGGCCTTCTCCGTCTCCGCAGAGCTGATATCGCGCTACCGCATATCGATGCCGTGAAGAAAGATGTCAAGTGGTCCGTCCTGCTGCTGCTGCTGCTGCTGGATCTCTCCTCTTTTTGCGGCTTGCCTTGAGCTGCTCCAGATGTTCAGGGATCAATAGGCAGGAGCTCCCAGCGTGCGTATATGTGCGCCGATGGGGAGGAAAAAGCTGCACAGCGGAGTAAAGGGATGCGTGGTGATGCTGCGTGTGTAGGGGAGGAAGGCTACCTGCATCCGTCTATCGATCATCACAGAGGACGGGCGCAGCTCCGAGCCATCTCATATGGGGGGGTGGGGGGGTGGTTGCGATGGTGATTTTATGTCTGACTTAGATGCCGCAGAAAGAATCTGCGTCGATTAAAAAAAAAATGCATCCAAAAACTTAACAGGGGGTGCAGCAGTTTATATTATGCAGGGTGCTAATAAAGGGGGCCAGCCTTGGGTCAAAGGGCCCACCCGTCAACAACGACACAGACAAACTCTACTGTTGTGGCCACTCTGAAGCAATGCGATAGATGAAAGCTGAGTCTTTTTTTCCATAACAACGCTGTTGTACGGCTGCCCATTAGGCCTGGTGTGACGTGCGGGTGACGCACAAGTCGGGGTGCATCTATGAAAAATAATTACCTATACTATGTCTGCAAACTTCAAATAGGTCTCACTCCAATCACAGAGCACAGCACAGATGGATGTCTGTTGTTTTGTTCCTCACTGTCTGAGCAGCATTTTTAGCTTCTTTTTCTTACTTTCTGCTCATTTTATAAGAGTAAAAAAGCATCAAGTCAGATTTCAACTTGAAAATATCTTAGAATAAACATGACCTAAATGCAATAAGGTGCGTCTCAGTAAAAAAAAATTATCTCACACCTACATCAGAAGATTCACCTGTTTTCTTCATTTCAGATTTGGCAGTAAATTTGCATCTAGGATTTTAAAAAATATTATTGGAGAATTGTTGTCAAAAAACTTACCACAGACTGCAGCAGTTATATTTTGCAAGCTGCTAACTAGTAGAGTGGCCAGCTTTCAGTCCAAGGGCCCACATGTCAACAATGACAAACATAATCCTACTGTTGTCGTTACTATGAAGCACCTTCTTCATCAAGAAGAGTTGAAAACAAAGTGCTGACATTAAAATCTTCAGATAAAAGGAAAGACATGAGTATTCATGAAATGTTAACATATGTGCCCTTTGGCTTTAAGCCATTTCTGAAATTAACAGAAATAGTTTGAGACTCATTACAATGAGATATGAGGATCACTATTTGTTACGCCCCCAAGGGGGTTCTGGGGAGGCAATATAAAAATGTGTCCAGAGCAAATAAGTGGAATGTAAAGATGATTTATTACAAAAGATGGTTTAAAAGAACCCAAACACAATGCAGCTCAACCCAATTAAAACAAAAGAAAAGGGCAAAGAAAATTCAAGAATGGTTAAGTATTAAATTACAAACTGCCCAAACCAGTCAGACCAAGTTTAACACAAAACAACCCAAAAGAAAAGACAAAGGGAGCAAACACAAGTTTCTAGCTTGAACAAGTCCACCTAAAGTTGATTTGAGAAGAATATAGAAGCTAGGTCAAACAGTTCTGACTGCCCCAAACAGTTTGAAACCAAAAGTGGGGAAACAGCTTAACAAAAACCTTCCTTTTATAAGGTGCAGATGGGTCTCATCAACATCCTGATTGGCTTGACAATCTTCTGCTGGTCCAATCATACCACTGCTCCTCTGCAGTCTTCAGGCAGCCAAAAAGGAAGATCTGTCAGAGCTAAACTTGCATAAGAAAACAAGCCTGCACAGTCTTAAAAGGCAAGGGGCCGTAACACTATTCCATAAGACCACACAGGTGCCACTGCTGTCAATTAATAACAGAATAAATTTCAACTAAAACAATGTTTTCCTTTCTTATTAGTCTTGATTTCAGTTACAGTATTCAGCATCAAGCATAAACTGCATAAATGTTTATGGATCCAGATACAGTATAATGTATGGAACACTCATGCTTCATAAATCCAATGGTAGTGGTCTGTGAGGGTGATTTACTTGAAAATTTTAGGTTCCTTATTCCCAAATTTGCAACTGTTTAAATTCCACAGCCAAAGCAAGTATTGTTGACGACGTCGATTCCCTCACAGCCCCATCCTCTGTTGGCTACGTCCACTGACATAATGCCCTGTCAGAGAGCTCGAATCCTTTTGCTATTTTCAGTAAAATGCAGAGTTCATTTCACTTTTGTCGTCCACACTCTACAGATTTCAATCCAGTAGAGCACCTTTGTGAGGCGGTGGAATTTTTTACCGCTGTTAAATGATGGGATTTCTTGCTACTAAAACCACATGTGTACTCCACCACATAAGTGAACTCCCAAATCTGTGCTTTCACTCAGCGTATGAATTTTCATTTTTAGCAAGTCCATGATGGATGTTTTGATATTGTTTTGGTCTTAACATGTTGTAGGGTCCAGTTCTGCTGCAGCATTGTTTTATTTTTTAAGATCCGTCCATCCATATTCTCCCACTTATTCCATCAGTGTTGAGGTAGAAACGGTGCTTAACTTCTGTAGTCTATGTGCAATAGAAGGAGTACACCCTGAACAGGTCGCCAGTCTGTTGCTGGTCAACGCAGAGACATATGAAGACATACATCCGTGCACACACACACACCTATGGACAACATAGAGAAACCAGTTAACCAGTCATGTTTTTGCACTGTGGGAGGGAGCAGGAGTATCCGCAGAGAACGCACGCACAGGGAGAACATGCAAACTCTATAACAAAAGTCACCGGGCCAGAAATTTAACCCAGAACCTTCTTGCTGCAAGGCAACAGTGCTACAAACTGCACCACCATGCAGCCCAGTTTTTTCTTTGTTTGTTTTTAAAGATTTCCTTACATTTTACTAAGGCACCATATGATGCACAGGCGAGTACCCAGATGATTCTAAGCCTGAGAGCTGGCTAAGCCCTGCACAAGTGTCCCCATATAGTAACTCTTCCATCTCAATTCTTACCAGTTGGAAGGGCTTTTCCTTTTTTTTCTGGTACGCTAACCTGTCCTTTGATCAGATATCTACATAATCCAGTCTAATATAAATAGGTTCAAACAACATCATTCTAAATATCTTTATCTACCCTCTATGTATATTTTCATCTGCATGTCACATTTTAAAGAGCATTTCTCAAGTTGCAGACCCCCCTATGAAAGCAATCTTTTTCCATTTGTATGGACATCAGATTCAATGGCAAAATTTGTAACACTCTGCTATAAATCCCACAATATGATTTTTTATTACTTTTTAGTAGCATCTTAAAGTTTGGTTTCAGGGTGGACTTATGTAGACAGCAACTCATAATATGCTACATCTTATCTTAGCTCTGTTTTTGTTTATTTGTCTAACTTTAAACTTTCTGTCATGTTGCAATGGATATGAAGGGTCTATATGTCCAAATATGAATATTTCCACCCATACATGCAGTTCTTCATATTATTATGTTAAATTCATTGTCCCGTTTCATAAAATGAGCTCAGTACATAGTTGGGGATCAGGCTCATGCATTTCAGGCCAGTACACTACAGTGGCCCCATGGTTATTGGTCATTTTGAATGTCAGGGCTTGTGGCAACCTGCAAAAATAACAGATGGTCGACTCTGAACAACCTTGGTACATGCCTGAGCTGGCTTTGAACAAAAGTAGTAATTATATATCTCAAAGAGACCAAGTAAAATCATTTAGATTCCTAAATATCCCCAACATGATTAGGAGTCAGCTTGAACACATGATCCATGACACAGTGTGGATGGTTAGTGTCGCTATGGTGACTTGCTTTTTAACAAATAGCACGGACAATGTCAAGTGTCGCTATGGTTGCAGATAAAAATATGTACACTGGCTTTTCTCTCTTTTTTTATGATAAACATCAAGAACTGATTTATATTTGTCTCCATGGCAACCCCAGCATATAGGACGGGGAATGAGACAGTAGAGGAGAAGGAGAGAGAGAGGGTGAGAGAGAAAGAGAGAGAGAGAGAGAGATGTACTTTGCTATATCTGAAAGGAGCCTGGATGAAACAGTGACAAAACGAGGTTTTTAATAGGTCACAATCTGACACCATTCAGGCTTAGGATGTGTGAAGCGGAGTGTTGGGTCAGGGTTATGACCTATGATGATCACTTACCATTTTATCACATTTATACTAATAAAAAGCATGAAAATAAATAAACTGAACCTGTCTTGTGAAAGGTTTTTATGTACTTAATTGATATGTGTTGCTCAGTGGCCCAGTGGGTAGCACTGCTGCCTTACTGCAAGAAGGTTCCGGGTTTCATCCTCGGCCCGTGGTCTTTCTGCATGAAGTTTGCACGTTCATTGGAATCTCTAAATTCTCCTTAGGTGTGAGTGTATGCGTAAATGGTTGTTTTTTTTGGTGTGTCTGTGTGTTGCCCTGCGATTGACTGTGACCTGTCCATAGAGTGCCCCGTCTCTTGCCAATTGACAACTGGAGATAGGCACCAGCACCTCTTGTGACCCCAGCAGGGATTAGTGTGATTGAAAATGAATGGATGGATGGATGGATAATTTATATGTATACTTAATGAGAATATTAATTCCCTGCTGTTGACTGACCCAGGTGGTGGTGAGTATAGTTCTTGTGTCAACTATCTGATCCAGCTGGAGTTTTGGGTACAAGGATGTGATTCTAGGACAAGATTGTAGCGTGTGCCCCATTGGGAAGTAATGTATGCAAACCTCCTAAAGGTTGGAGCTAAGCTTGATCTGTAAAATATACAAATTGTGTTTGTGAAGAAGAAATTAAAAAACGTACATATGGAATTGATACATAGTTCAAAAGTATGATCAAGTCCTTTGAAAGCAGTTCGAAAGCATGTATGCAAAGATACATAATCTGTTAAAGTTTCGTTTGGAAACCTATATTAAAGTAAGTAATCCTCTTTTTAATGAAACAGTAATCATTTACAGGAATAAAGAAGTAACCATTTAGAGGAAGACAGTGCCCTGTTTGGCAATGTGGCAATAAGAATAATTGTCTTGATGGCAAAAAAGGGCCCAAAGGATTTTGCTTTCGCAAGTGGAGCAGTAATGCAATCGTCATAGTGTTTCGCTTGATTTATGCATGTAAATAGCCTTTTTATAATTATGCAGGGAGTATTACAGATTATATGGACACTGCAATGTAAGTACAACAGGAAAGGAAAAAAACAGGATAAATGAGAAAAGATGAAAGAAAGAGGAGATAAAAGGGACACAACAATAAAATGTCTTCAGTCTGCTTCATCACCTGCAGTCTCAATCATGCCTTCCCACCCTAGTGCCCCCAATCGCAACACTCAGACTCTTCCAAAAAGAGTCGGGAGCCCCGACCGGGCCCCAGGGGGCCAGGTCCCGCGAAGCAGCCTCCAGAAAAAAGCCAGCACCTGCCCGGGTATCTA